AGAGCTTGCCATTCTGTTATATTTAGGAAACTGATTTTCTGATAGAGAACCACTAGGTTAAAAACAGTCTCACCTGGTTAGTGAATGCATTTTTAGAATAGGGAGATCATTTACTTTGATCGTTTCTCATTTACTTTGTAGCATCCAGATTCATAAAGACAGTGACTTAACTGTAGATCATATTCTGTGCGCATGTTTCTCTCTCTTGTTGCCCTTTGTAGGGTATGAACACTTGGTAGCAGTCTGGGATTTTTTAGTTGGTCAGGATGTAGGCCTCTGGGGCACCTTGTTTGTAAAAAGGGTAACTTGTGCAGTACATTGTACATTTGCGTTGTGTGTTGTTTAGTTTGTTATTGTTAATAAATATTTGTGTAACCCAGTATGCCTGACTTATTTCTGTTTTCACCCAAGCTCTACCAGAGAACAAAGAACTCTGGTGCCACGAATTATACCAACCACATGAGTATATTCATGGCAAAATCATTACAATTTGGAGGTTGTGATTACTTAATTATCCTTCTAGGTCTATTTTCTATTTAATAGAAATTCTGGTAATTCTCTATTTTTGTAACCCCTATTTGGATCACTGTGTATTAGCTGTATCTATCTTACATATTATGGATATACAATGTTGTTCTTATCTGATTGTTCCACCATGTTGTATCAAGGCTACAGAGCCAGTCTCACCCCTGTCTATCAAAAGGGATGGAGCTTAATGTATTTAACCTGGGACTCATGGAGCAGCAAATTAGTGTTTGTGTCTTTGGTACTGTTACTGTCACATCCTGCTACTCACGGTGGCATGAGCAGCAGTATGGTTATCGCTGGATGAGCCCACATACTGGGTGAGACAGCTGACAGCACCAACGCTGTCTGGGGAAACCTTACCAGGCTGAGTGGAAGGCATGTGCACTGGGAGACAAGATGTAGGCTGTGAGCTGGCTGGGAGACAGAAGCAGAGCTGCACACACAGGTGGCATAGTGCTGTAGCACACAGAGGAACAGAAGCAGAGCTGTGCACACAGGTGGTGTAAAACTATAACAGCCTGGGGAAAGAGAGCGAGGAACAGGAACAAGGAACTGGGAATGTAGGAGGTTCATAGCCAGGCAGCAGGTAGACAGTCAGACGTATAGGGAAACCTAGGGAGGATCAAAGCCGGGAAAACACTGAGGTGAAGCGCTAAGGGAATTTCCAGGTCAAGAACAAGGTGAAGGTTGAACTTTCATACACACAGCACAAGCCAGGGAACTAGAGAACTACTGTAGGAATACAGGGAGGCTCCCACTAGACTCCAAGAGCAGACTCTATACCAGACCCTTGACGATTGCTCACAGGTGATGCAGATTTCCTGTCGGCACGCATTGTTGTGGTAACTGGCAATGAGAGACAGGTACAGTAAGTGTCCGGCTACAGCATACACTAGCTCACTCTTTGTTATGGGGATGAGCAAAGGTACAGTTACCTGTTTATTGAATCAGCCTGGTGTTTACAGAGTCTTTAAACTGCTAGTGGGAACCCTTCCTGGAAAGATTCCAATTTACACCTTTTGCTGAATGTTTTGTTCTCTTCTGTAAATAGTTTTCAACACAGAGTACTTTTTAGTAAACAAACAATCTTTTTGTTGGTGTTCTATATGTTCTGTGACCACCCATGGATTTAATTGCAGGTGATTTTGTCACAAGGAGATACAAGTAATCTTTTGGAAAATCACCTGGGAAATAAAGCATTATTCTACACATTCATTCATTGTTTGAACTGCAGTGAATCCTGTTGCAGCTCACAGCAACCAGAGCACAAGGAGGGCCAAAGTTGTAAGGCATGTGTGCAAACTACCATACTACTCACATTCTATATATACTGTACATCCATCCATTTTCTAACTATAGAATTAGTAATCACTACATACTAAGACTGTGGATTTCATTTTATATCACTTCACTCATTTCAACAGCCACAGAACAGATCTGAATCTTTTAGTCTGGAACAGAGGTTATGGGGAAACATGATGTGTGGTTACACAATACAGTTGAACGTTCTCATTTTTTCTAGAGTATGGACCCAAATAGCTCCCCACAACCACGCTTTTCTTATTTAAACATTCTCAATTGTGGGAACACATGATATCCCTAGTTATTGTATAGCCTAGATGTCTTGTAGAACTGTAAGCATGAACTGTAAGCAAGCTCTTCCTAGAATGAAGATATGAAGTGGAAACAGCAGCTGCTTTCTGCATAGCTTGGGACACTGCTGTTTCCACTTCATATCTTCATTCTGGGAAGAGCTTGCTCCCAGTGACCAGGAGGAGCCTAAAGCCTGAAGAAGACAGGTTGAAACCAGTTTCTGCCATTTCCTGAACGAGGTGCTGTCACTAGGAGAGTCCTTGCCTTAAACGACATCCGTCACTCTGTCATGTGCTGGACACCTGCAGCCCTGAGATAAATATCTATAATGAACAATGCTAAAAAGGCATTGGACACAGTTTGGACACAGTTCATTCTGTGGAACAGAAGCCAGACTGATTTCCAAAGTGTATCTGGCAAAACATCTTTATTAAAAGATGTATCAAAAAATCTTTTGAATATTTTTCAAAACTTGTACAAATGTGTACCAAATACCACAGATAAACAGATTTTTTTCTAAATATTCACGATCACTCCAAGAGGTGTTTTTTTTATTCCGTGTTCCAGGGGAGTGGCAGTGAAAGCTGATAGCTCTCTTTCCATCATATCGATGCACTTCACATTCAAGCAAAGGGACCTTGGAGCAATGAAAAACCCTAAACTTCTACAGGGTGTTATGTCGCTGTACAAGGAAGAAGGCATCCTGTAGACCTCTCTACCACACCAACATTGGCCCACTGTGGCTCCTCACCTGTGTGTGGAGTAAAGCCCTCTCACTGCGGTCCCTGTGTGATCATTCAGACTGTCCCACGCTGGCTTGCTCTGGGGTGGGCAGTGCTGTGCCTGGCAGAATCAACAGCACAAGTGTGACTCACAGGCCTTACATAGTGGCTCATGCCTCATGTACTATTGAGATATTTCTATTTTCAGGGCATAAAACCAATAAACACGACACTATGGCTGCCAAATTCTAGCGGGATATTTTAAAACAGGCTCCTGTCCTTGGCTTGATGGCAGCCTGGTTGATTTAAGAGAGAGAGTGAAACAGAAAAAAGGTGAAAAAGAGGGACAGATCAAAGACAAGGGTGGACATGTGAGAGACTCCAGGGAACAGATATTGAGCATGAGAGGCGGAGAGGAGAACGTTTCTAACAAGCAGAACAATCAAAGTAAATCAGCTGCGCTGTAAATAACGGTGAAACTAAAGCAAAAGTTACTACCCCAGCCACATTGCCATCCATCTGTACCTTAACAGGAGACCTCCTCTTCTGGTGGGTGTCCAGATGGCTGAGAGACAGAGGGCTGGATGGCCGTAGAGGAGGCCTGGATCTCCAGTTCTCAGAGGACCGGGGTCCTGAGGGGGTCACCCGTGCCGAGGAGCTCAGGGACACCCAGCCATTGTTATTCTGCTCCCACAGGGAATAGCCCCCCTCACAACTCCTCGGCTGGGCCATGAGTCCCTGCTGTTTGGCTGGAGGTGGACGTGACGCAGGTGACTGTGTAAGAGCCAGACAGACGCAGAGGGGCAGCTGCTGCCTTGCCTTCACACTGGATCTTGATGGCAGCCTGGTTCTGGTGTTTTTACGTTTTTAAGTTGTCAGCCAACTTTCACAAATCCTGCAAATGAATACAAAATCATTAAGAGCTACATACTGTCTATACTGGAACAGGTAACGGGTTTATTCCATGCTGAGAAGAAAAGAAAGGAAACACAACGTTTAGATAAAATGTTTCCTGCAGCAAGTTAATACTTAAAACGTCTGCACATACATTAAATACAGGATGCTTACAATCTAAAATATGATCTAAATTTTTATTAAATTTGCTAAATCTCTCTTGATCGTGCAATTCACTTTCATCAAAGATTAATTAAGGCAAGATTTTCCAAATGTGGAAGAAAAAACATATTTTAAATCCATCCATCCATTTTCTAATAGTTCCTTCTAATTCAGGGCTGTGGGGGAGTAGGAGCCTGTCCCAGCAAGGCAGGATACACCCTAGACATTACAGCAGTCCATCACAGGGAAGGCACACACAAATTCAGATATACACAAACACAGACTCACAGCTAGGGCCAATTTTCCCACAAGCCAATTACACTCCAGTATGTTTCTGGACTGTGGGAGACAACCACATCACCCAGAGGAAACCCACGCAAGCACAGGGAGAACATACTGTACGTACACCCCACAGATACTGTAGCACCCCAGGTCCAGAACTGGTCCAGAACCCAGAGCCACAGCACTGCAAGACAGCAATGCTGACCACAGCACTACCATGCTGCCCTGTCTTTTAATCAAGAACCAAAGTTCCTCTAGTCAACAATCTGAAATCCCACTTAGAAAGCTCTTCTGATTTGAATGAAGGTGTGCAGCTATTTACAGTTATATTTACTGAACATTACCATGAGGCTTATATAGGTATCTCCATAGCTGAAGACTTTATCTAAAGGCACATGTGAAATGCTTCAGCATCAGCCAATGATCCAAACATCAGAAATGTTAATACTACAAATCCTCAAATTACGTATTTGAGTCAAAAACACCAAATAATTTTGTACGTTACATGGCAGACAAAGAAATCAAGAACTAATAGACCGATAAGTACTTCTCTACTGAATCTAGTGCATTTATGCTTTTATCCTTATTTTCCAGAAACAGAACAACTGAAATTTGTAATTATTAAGAGTCTCTTGAGACAGCTGGAAAAGAGACACTCTTGAAATGTCTCTTGGTGAGACCAGAGCAAATCCGTGCAGCATATTGCGAGATTCATAACCTCCTGAGCGTGTGAAAAGCATGTGCTCACTAAATCAGTGCATTTTCTAAACCTTGTGAATATTTAACACCCTCACAGCTAGTTTACCTCAGCTCACTGCTAATATAAACTAGAAAACAGATCACAGCAGGAACAAAACTGACACTCACCTTCAGCCTGTCTCCCCGAGGCAATGAATACTATAACGCCCAACACACAGCAAGGAAGTGCTCTTATTCTAAAGGTGAGAGTCCTTGAGCAGCTGAGGCTTGCAGCCATGGAAACGAGTGTACACAGAGCTGAGGGCTTGCCTGAGACCTGCCCTCAGTGGCTAATCTCAGGGCTGCTGCCGACCTGGCAGTTGAGCACAGTATTGTGACAGGAGGGCAGCACGGCTCTGGAAGCATTCTTCACATACTGTAGCTTTGGCTCTGGTGAAGTTAACCCCTTCAAACATACATAATAGGCAAAAAGTCAACCTGAGGGCTGTGAATACACTAAGTTGTTTTTTTTTCCCTTTTATTTCTGTTCTAGCCTACTTTGCCCACCAAGTATGTGTTTTTGTGCTAGGCCTCTGTCAGATGTCTAACAGAGTCTAACAGAGTGCTATTCTGAACGTCCCACATTAGCTTTGCTAACTAATATTCTCACTTGCCAATATATTGGGAACTCTCATTGAAAATTACCCAAAACATTCACTTTGTTAAATGGACAGTTACCTAGAACACATCTTCCTAATAAAGTCTGTTATAACATACCTTGTGAACAAGGAAAACATGCAGATACCACAACCAGACTCTAAGAGCTATGAAGCAGCAGTACTGCCATGCTGCTCACATTTAGTCATGATAATGCTCATTATTGAATGAAAATTATGCTTTTAATGTTCTGTATGGTTTCAGTCAAACAAACTCATAGTTTACATCTAGCTGTAATTGATTGAATATGCTGTAGCATTATGCAGAAAGCTGGAGTCCTGCACACATTTAACTAGTGAAGATCTAACTGTTGACCTTTAATATATAGATTGTGGGTTTAATATCCTTGTAAAAATAAAGATTCCTTTTAAACAGACACCCTGCTCCATTATCTTCATATTTCTCCTGCCTAGGAAGCCCCTTTAAAAATGATGCTTTCAACTGGAATTGCCCAAAGAGTCTTAAAGCAAAACTGCAATACGTTTTAAGTTTTTGGAGAATATCACGAGGCTTTAAACGTGTGAAAGAATGCAACAGGTTGATCCATGGCACTTCCAGCGCATACTGTATGTGACGATGGAGAGAAGACAGCACTCTAACACACATGTATAGTTTACAGTTCAACAGCCAAAGCTGCTGGTCTTCTCTGCGTTTGTGTGACTCCTGCTTGTACTCATTACGGCCCACCAGTGCAGGAAGTCTTATGAAGAGCTCGGCTGCACTGCTCCACCAACGAAGAGCATGATGCCATGCATACTGTAGAAGACATAGTTGATGAAACAATGGCTCAATAACATTCAAGTTTCAACAGAATCAATAGAGAAAACCGATATTCAGAAACAAAACTATTGTCCTCAAGTTCCTAATCATTTTTACTTTGCCCTCATTGCTGAAATATTAACTATTTTCTAGTCTCAATATACAGTATATCTTTTTAATAGGTGCAAATGTGCAAATAGCACTGATTCTCTCCTGCAATAGCCACCAGACCCCGAGGAGCCTCTCCGGTAGTGCAGTCAGGGATTACACTTCAGTTCTGCACAGATAAAAGATCAGGGTTGCCAGGCAATCTTGTTACACGTTCAAGTAGGTACAGGAACTGCGTCAGTATGCATAGGCAGCAAAGGAAGAGGTAAAGGTTTATTTCATGCTGAAAACAAAAGAAGAGAGACACCACATTGCTTCACACCTGAAGAAGGCTCCACAGCCGAGATGTTGTGACAATACAAGCAATCTCCGACAGAATAATAAACCAATTCAACTTTTAAACTCTTCAGGAATGTTTTACAATCTTCAGGAAACGTCAGATCAGACTAGCATACTGTCCAGAGCACCCATCCCAGCTCCCACAATCCCCTGCCCTTACCTGGAGTGGAGGAGTGGTGGCTGAAAGTGACAGTGTGCTCCATGATAGAGATACAGCACGTGTAGCTGTACACACTTCTAAGACTGTCATGTGTACAAGGCCACTGGAATTGACTTTCTTGGGAAATGTACCGTACTTGTCATCAGAGTGAAAAGTGGTTTACAAAAACAAGGTGCCATAACTATTGGCTTATCAATGACTCCAGACATTTGCTTTGCAGTTTTTTCAATCCTCATTTACTGGAAAGCCCTGGTCTGCAAGAGAACCCGACGAGCAAGTTAGAAACCAGCTCCTGTGTATAACAAGCAGATATGCACTGGGTGTATTTCATGTCGTTATCCATCTCACACAGCCTGGCAGCTGGCATTACAATCGCCTTTCAGTGCAAGGGTAAATATGAACAACAAGCAGGCAGTAAGCGGTATCCGTGGAGACTCTAATGAGTCACTAATAACTGAAACAGAACTGTCCTTCAATGGAGGAGGAACGGTGTGTCAGAAAAACTGCAGTGCTCTTAAAGCCGATTCTGCGTCGTAGATAACTTTCGTCACACATCCGCTTCTGATACCGCGAGCATCGCAAAAGAAATAATACGGCAGCTTTAGACATATTTTTCGTATTGAGAGAAACTATAACAGAAATCCACTGTTTTAAAAGCGTCAGTTCAGGAGGCACGATTCGGGAACATTTTAGTAGGACGAACAAAATCTCATATATGCTGGATTCTGCTGAAGCTAAAATGAAAAACTCACAGTGGTGGTAGTGGTCCCTTGCCTCTGTCGTACAAGCGTTACTCTGTGTAAATCGGGGAACTGACTAGTCTTGAGGTCAATAAAGAACAGCCTTTACCTCCCACTGAAAACAGACAGCTCCGCTCCTCCAGAGGTGGTCCGATTGACGGACTATCTATTTTAAGGGCTTTTGTCACTCGTTTCTCTTGTATACAAACGTTCAAAATGTGTTCTTCACGTTCCCAGTGGTCCTTTAAAGTGTTCTGACCGAAGTACAAGATACCAGAGAAATATGTAACCCTTAAAAGGTGATGCACCTTCGAAACACGAAGTCTACTGTTCTCGCTTTTTATACATTTTTACTTGCAATAAATACAGATGTGACTGATTTTTTTTCTTCTTCACGTGAAGACATTTTCTTTCCTAAAAATCAATACCTCAACACGGGTCTGACGACTGAGCCAGTCTCCTCATTTCAGATTAATTCGCTGAATTGTACTTGTACTAATTGACGCCCCCGTTCCTTACGGTCGGTCCTGAAGCGCCTTGCATCTTTATATTGTAACATTTTGTGAACTAGAAAACGTTATTGCAATTGGTGACAAACAGAAAATTACTTTAAACTTAAAAGTCTGGTCTTCGCTGACACCTGAGGCGTGTGTTCATATAGTTCCGATACTGTATTTATACTGAGGATCATATTTAATCGGGATTTGCTCCTTAAAATATTCATAGAATATTCAAAATACGTGTTCACGTGCAGCGTTTCAGCTTTATTAAATTCTTTGAAGTGTTTTAAATGAAATTTACTCCTTGCCTATTAAATCTAAAATATTGTATTATCTAGACATGAATCAACGGTCTGCTTGTTTACAATCCATGCTTATGAGTTAATTGAAAACGTGACGTTTTAAACTGTACAGCACTCCCGGGCGAGTGCGTTTCTGTGGTCCCCAAAACGGAAATCTCTTTGAAGTCTTGTGGGACGAAAGGCGCTACATAAATATTAGGAATCATTATGTATCCTGGATAACTAGGGGCAGCACGTTGGCGCAGTGGCTAGCATTACAGCCTCGCAGGGAAACGCCCCTGGATTCCTTGGGTGCTATCTGCATGGAGTTTGCATGTTCTTCCCGTGTTTGTGTGGGTTTACTCCAAGTGCTCCGGTTTCCACTACAGTCTAAAAACATACTGGTGCGTTTCTGTCCGGTGTCCCGTCCAGAGCGTACCCTGCATTGAGCCGTTGCTTGCCAGGATATAGGCTCCGGCTCTGAACTGGAAGAAGCGGTTAGAAAATGGATGGACCTATCCCGCCTCCAGTCTAGCGCAGGTCACACAGACAGTGACACCAATGAATCTCGTCAGCGTGTTTCTGGAAGGTGGGAGGTAATGCAATCGTGACCCGGGAGGTACCATTGCAAAACGACTCACCAGTTTGCCGCCCCACGTCAGTTTACATACAGTAGGTACTTATTTCATTCCAACAACGGAGAAAGGGCGGAGAAGAAAGCAAAATCCGATTAAGGCGTGACCTTGCAATTCATTTTTGGACCCTAGGTCGAGTGTCGTGTGAGGTACTACACTTCCTCCACGCAGAACCCCTTTGATTTCCTGTGCGACTGAGACCAACTGCGAAAAGCTGAGAAATTACCCAGAAGAAAGATTGCAGCAGCGACTTTAAACCACAAGAGGACGACATTGAGGTAGCATTTTAGTCTGTCAGCCAATAGTCTTTTTTTCTTCTTCAGAAGTGAGTTTTAAAACAGGAATGTAAATCCTCTGGGGATTAAAGCAGACTTGTACTCATCACGACACATGTTGCTACGAACTGCAGCCAGGTCTGGCAAACGGTCTCAGATCCGAGGAACATTACTGAGCTACACAGGCGCTGGGCTGTAATCACATACGCGCAATTTCACCACGGGAATTAAAAAGACGGGCGAAAAGCCTTTTTTTTTTGAGTGGATACAACATTTACACCTATTCCGCAGACACGGTCTCCTAAACTGGTAGCGTAGTTTTACTTAAAAATTATTGTCAGCGCCGGTGTCCTGTCTCCTCAGCGCAATTAGGATTAGTGTTATACGAATAACGATAAACACGGATTACTGGCAGAGGAATGGATAGGTTATGTGCTACATCACTGCCGCTTATTATACTTTATTTCGTTATAACTGGAGACTCCACTGTGAACGCTCTTAAAATCCCCGCTGACTCAGACCTTAAGGGGTAAGTGGAAAAAACCTGGACGTCAGTTATCCATAACGCAGGGCATTTATTCTTTTTGTTTACTTTCATTAGTTTACGTGAGAAGAATTACAGTATTAAGAACCGCAAAGGTCCATTAAAGCAGCGAGCGTGTGCACTACGGCGGTTTGCAGAACAACTGAAAAGCAACATGGGAGCAAATGGGACTTTTGGGTGAAGCGTTTGCTGGCCGAGGTGTGGGAGATGTCTTTGATGTGCTCACTGTTATTGACAAGTACCGGGCTGCAATGAACAAGCAGCGCGTTTGAGTAGCTTAGCGGAGAGCGATGAGCTGCAGTGTAGCTCAGAAGATCAGTGGTTAGTGTTGGACAATAGTGTGTGTGATGTGTTATGAAAGGTTACGAACATGATTACGGCATTTGGCCAAGCTGGCCCGTTTGGTAGTTAGAGCTAACTTTCTTGATAGATGCCAGGGAATCACGTTCAGCCACCGTGGCTGGGCAGCTTGTTCCATAGTCCCACATCAAGTTTCACTGCTCATTCTGAAGAAAGCCAATGGGCTGAATTTGACATATTTGATTTTGAAGAGTTGGATCAGTTCCTCTCATTGTCTTTACTGTTCCAAGACCAAAAAGATTCAGTTTTTTCAATCTGTCAGTTTAGGACATTCCTTTAAGACTGTATCTGATTGCTTTAATTTTGTACCTTTTTTGTAATGTAGTGATCAAAATTGTACAAAATAAATGAGTTCTTACTAGTGCATTGCACAATTATGACATAAGATCCTTCAGTTTAATGCTCTGTGGATAAAATCCTGGGAACGCTTACAGTAACTTCTAGCTAACAAAGTACCATCATGATCACCTGTTCCTGGCAGTTTTATTAGTTTTAACTTGGAAACCTGCAGTGTCAATTAAATTTGTTTCCACAGAGGAGGTATTAACATTGTCCCGTATGGCTAAAGCTATATCATATTTCTATAGATATAGATAGAGCTTATCAATATTCTTGATATATTAGTGTAAGAACTGTCTCAAGCAGTAAGTCTTAATGTCTCAAGCAGCTAAAAAGCTAAAGGTATTCTTCAGTGAAAGCATCCTATAACAATACTGGAAAGAGTAGAGCAAGATCCAACTGTACCCTTTCCTGGTTTTGTCATACTGTAACAAGCCTGCTTCCTTCTGCTTGTCTTTAGAAGAGAAGATTGTCCAGACAACAACATCGTGACTGTGGAATATCCCTGTGTCACAGCTGGAGGGGAAAAAAGCATCTGTCTCAGGTAAGTCATCTGCACCTGCAGGTCAGGACTTCACTGACCTGACATGACTCCACTATCTTCTTGATTGTGTTCCTGAGAACGTGCACAATAAAGTCTTTAATTTAAATAATTTTACTTTGCTAGACAGTCACTGAAGAATCTACAACCCATTGCCTGAATGTTTACAATTTGCAAACATCTGCGTATATAAATATTGAAATATATAGTACTACACTTAAAGCTGAGAGTGCAATTATGATCAAAAGACACAGTCTAGGAAATTATAATTCTATTAAAGGCTTTCAATCCAGGAAACTCATTTTGGGGAAAAAAAGCCAGAGAACTTTACTTTTGTTATTTGTCATGAAACTCCAGGACCTGTCATTTTATTAAATTCAGAAAGAACAGCAATTTGCAGAATTCATTAGATGATTATAACTGCAAAACAGGTATGTTCAACCCTGGTCCTGAGAGCTGCATGGTGTCCTGGTTTTCATTCCATTTCAGTTCCATTTGCTTAATTTAAACCAATGAATAGCCTAATTAGTCAATTTTAATTAATCAATTAGTGGCTTTTAGCCACAGATAGAGGCAATCCATTGAACCTGCAGGCTTTTCTGGACCATGATTGCAGACTGCTGCTGTTAAGCCTCCCATACTCCCGTTGTGCAAAGTTCATTCTCTTGCTCTGTTCAAGGAGCCCAGGCTTCCTAAAGTGCCATGATCCTAGTACAGATACCTGTGGTATTCCGCTTACAACATGACCCCAATTGAGGATTCACACCCTGTTTGTTCTCTCTGGTTCATCAGTTAATCAAGCACATTTCCCTGAATGCCCACCACCTATATTTTGAAAAACTTTTATGAGGAACTCTATTAAAAGCATTCTGAAAATCTAAATACAACGTATCCTATGCTATGTGAGTATGACTGCCATTTGTTGTTAAAACCTCTTAATAAGTTAATATGACAAAACCTGTCTTTTCAGCATACTTCAGTATTTGATTTCCATATAGATGATAATCTAATTTAGTTGTAATAATTGTTTCCATAACTAACATGTAATTAAAGTCAGGCTTATTGGTTTGTAATTGCTTGATTCAGTTTTGTCACCCTTCTTGGATGGACGCTACATTAACAATTTTCAAGTCCCTAGTATTATCTTGAGTGGCTTGCTGGAAGAGTTGCATCAATGGTTTCTGATTAATATCTCTTGTTTCTTTTGTATAACTGGCAAGATACCTGGGGATTTATAAATCATGAGTAGTTTTAGTACCCAAAACTCTTCTTCCTCTCCTGTGCTGATATTATTTAATACAGAACTTTGTGCTTCCACTGCCTGAGGCATGCTGTTGACATCTTGTTTAGTGAACATGTGAGTTAAATACTCATTTAGTACATAATTCATTTCCCTTTCATTGTCTAGATATTTCCCCTCTATTGCCCTTGATATAGTTTACTTTTTCCTGTTTTGCTGTTTTGCTGTTTTGCTGTTGTAGTACTGAAATAGTACTGAACCTTATACATTGATAATGGTCCAACAGCAATCTATTGAAAGCACTGCAGCCCAGCACTCTAACAGTAAGATACTGAGCACACAGCAATGCTCTACTGTATAACACTGAACTGCTGAACGCATTGAATCCCAAAATTCCAACTCAAATATTTCCTGTTACCTTGACTGTAGAGAACTTCTCACTTTGTATAGAGATCTTGGCCATTCCTCATGTCCTTATAGACATATGAGACATTGTAGAGATGTACAAAAGGAATTTCCTTTGGCTGAGAAGTCTAATTGATAAAAAGTATTACTGGAAAATGGATTTATCTGCTTTTCAGTTTTTACCGTAAGTTTAACCATAAGATAACCCTTTTCTCAATAGCATATTGGCAGTGCCTGCAAAATCTGTTTGGTGAGAAGATTACAGTGAAATTATTGTCAAGTTACAGGAAACCCTAATTTAATTTTAACCAGAATGATAAACTGTGTATACATGGTGGCGTTTTTAAATAGTGGAAGGAATTTGGTACTTTTTCCTTCTTTTAAAATACTGTACATATGCCAGCCAAACTATATTGCCCTTTGTGCTGACTGTATTGTTTTGCTGTGAGACACCAATGCCTAGCATGTAGAAAAGTGAGTGGGAAACCAAATTTGTTTACAACTCCGGGCTTAACTCAGTAAGTAGTTTCAGCTGGTCTCAAAGCACTCTTCAACATTTGTGCTTAGTAGAGATGGCTAAATCTGTATGAGTAAGTTCATGTTAGTTTGAAACAACTCAAGTTGTGAACAACCTTATTTGTGAAAAATAATTATTTAAAAGAAATATCCGAAAACCACATGCTGATGTGATATACAAGAGAGATGGTTCCTGCCGCGTGGCTTCGATGGGTAAGTGTTTTAAGAGGTATAGCTGTGTCTTTGTTTCTGGGATGGCATTTGTGTGTCACCTTGTGGTTTGAGCCACATGTATTATTAGTATAAAGCTTTCCATGTTCAAGGTTGATGACTGACATAATTTGCTGTAGGTTTACACTAATAATAAACTTGATTTTTATATACAATTCAATTCAATTTATTGTTTTGTGTATGATCGTACATGTTGAGAATCCAGAACAGAAAAGACCAGAAGACAACGGAAGGGAAGGAACCAAAAACACCTTAGTAAGGGGAAAAAAACCCTCTAGGGTCCAAGGTCAACTGGCTGCCCAACCCTCTGAGCATGCTAACATTAGATAATTAAAAAAAGGAATACATGAATAAGGGTATTAATCCATCCATCATGTCTTCTGTATGTCAGTACTCCATACAGATCTCTGTAGACCCGCAAAATCCTCCTAAACGATAGCTATATCCACAATGTCCCGCTTGGATCCGTGGCAGTGATGCAGCATCCAGCTCAGATGGTGCCCAGCCTGGGTACCATCCGGTCATGTGGGGAGGAGAATAGGATAGTTGGGTCAGAACAGATGTATCTACCTGGTGGGCCAACACAGAGACACACAATGGCAGGGACAGCAGCACCAGCAGCCATGGTTGCAGCAGGCTATGATGTAAGGTGTGAGTAGGCTAGGCTGAAGTAATAGGTCTTCAGTCTGGATTTGAATTCTGAGATTGACTCAACATCCCGAAAATGGGGTGGGAGACTGTTCTATAAGGTAGGGGCCCTGTAACTAAAGGCTTTACCGCCAACTGTTATTTTATTAATGCGTGGAATATGAAGAAGACCTGCATTCTGTGAACTAAGCGGGCAGCTTGGATTGTATACATTAATAAGTTCCATTAGATAGACAGGTGCCTGACCTTTGAGAGCCAGTAGTAAGTAGAAAGATTTTTAAGTCTGCCCTGTACCTGACAGGAAGCCAATGAAGAGAGCTAAGTATTGGGGTTATATGGTCATATTTTCTGCTCCTAGTAACAATTCTATCTGCTGCATTCTGAATTCGCTGTAAGGTATTGAAAGAGTGATGGGTGCTCCCTGATAGTAGGAATAAGGAATATAGCACCTTTGAAAGTGGCTTCACAAAGTGCTTTATAGAACAACAACAAAACACATTGAACAACAACAAAAAACACATTAAGAGTTGACAACATGTAGCAACAATTTAGGATGTAATCTGATGACATTTCTGAAGTGGAAGAATTGTTTTGACAAAATACTGCATGTGTGGGTCAAACATCAAGCCTGGATCAAATATTACCCCTAAGTTCTTTAATTTAGATTGAAACTCAAGTAAAGTACCATCCACATACAGGGTTACTGCATTGGTTTTACATACCTGATAGGGCAAGACAAGAAGCATGACTTCAGTCTTGATGCAGTTCAGAAGAAGAACATTTTGTCATCCATGTTTTTGTGTCAGAGATGCAATTGGAGAGAGCAGAGACAGCTACATCAGTGTCGGGTTTAGTGTGGACATAGATTTGAGTGTCATCAGTGTAGAAATGTGACCATGTGATCCTAATAGCTAACCAAGTGGGAACATGTGCTGTGCTGAAAAGTAGGGGGCCCAGTAGTGAGCCCTGATAAACACTGGACTTAATGTGTCCAATTTCAGCGCTAAAGCCACCAAGAGAGACAAAGTGACAGCAATTGGTAAGAAAAGACTTGGACCATTTCAGAGCAGTGTTAGAAACTCTAAACACAGAGGCATATTTGTTTGTTTGGCACAGAGGTAACAGCAGCAGTTTTGAAGGCTGTTGGTACCATACCAAGTCTATTAATCCTGAATGCTGAAGTCCAGCTGTGTCGGGCGTGCGTGTGTTGTCATGGAGTCTGTGTGATTGTATTGCATCAGGTTGTCAGCCAAGTGCAGTGAGAATAGGTCCAGAAGAACCAATGAAAGGCAGAAATAATTGAGATGTTGGTTTCAGCAATAGGAAAAACATGTTCTTGTTTAGTCTTCACACCCTTGATTACTTCTTTGGAAGGCTCTTGTACAGCACCTAGAGCACAGTGTCCCCCGTCTCCTGTCTTGAGATGTCCTTTCCAATCCAGACAATAGAGGTCCAGCCTCCAGCCTGCAGGGCAGCTGGCAGCAGAAGGGTGTCCCCACACAGGTGCCAGCTGCCTGATCGGGGACAGCGTTAGCAAGCGTTCAAGAAGGGTCATTTAAAAAAAAAAACTTTGAGAAATGAGATCAATTTTTAAAATAGGCACATTTAAACCTTAGTAGTTCAGCTGGGGAGCTGCGTCAGCATGCGTAGGCTGCAAAGGAACAAGTGACAGGTTTATCCCTGCTGAAAAGAGAAGAAAGAAAACACAACATTTCGTCCGTGGAGCCTTCTTCAGGTGTGGTGAACGTGGTGAAGGGGAAGCCTTCCTCACACCTGAAGAAGGCTCCACGGACGAAACTTTGTGTTTTCTTTCTTCTCTTTTCAGCTGGAATAAACCTGTCACTTGCACATTGAACCTTTGTATGGCGCGTGTTTTTCTAATTTACCTCGGCAAAGCAGTTTGAGAAGCTTTTCAGACTCACTTTACTTGCTGACTCAGTAAGATCTCAGGCCAAAATATAAA